TTTAAAAATTATTTTAATAATCACATTGATATAAAGAAATATTAAGAAAATCAGTATACAGGAAGTATGCAGCTAGGCCAAAATTTTGAAGATTACGTGAGAATTAGTGAAGTTTGAGAAATACTACACTTACCCATTTGGTCAACAAATAAATATAAGTGCCTTCTATGAGCATGCCATTGATTTAGCCACCATGAAGGACAGAAAGCGATGTTCAAAGAAATATAAACAGTAAAGTTGGAAGAGAAGGAAATTACTTCCAAGTGAGGTAATCAACAAAGGATTCACAGGCAAGGTGGCATTTGAGCTCGGACTCCATGGGTACAATTTAGACATGCAGAGATAGGGAGAGCATCTGAAGAGAGCAAAAGCGAAACGATACAGGCCTGAGAGGTGTCATGTTCCAAATCTCGCTTGTAGGGTTGGTTACAAGGGTATGTGTATAATGTACACACAAAATGAGCGCACATTATTATATGTAACTTTTTCCTTAATGAATTTGATACCCTACCTGTGACCTATACAACAAAAAGTCACTGAGGTTTCAGGCTTGGCTAGCTTGGGAAGGGGGGGAAGTAAACGCAATAAAGAGAAAAGGGAAATCAGAATTTAAAGACAAGGGGATCAAAAATACTTATTTTCACAAAACAAATTTTCAATAAAAACTGTTAGCTATTATACAAAAAAAAACCCAGCTCTATGCGTCTACTTAATAGTTTCATTTCACTGAAGACAACTTATCTGAATTAAGGCTTATCTATTAAAATTAAATGTACTGTTCCCAAGCCCCTCAAACAAATGAGCACATTAATAGCATTCACCTCTAACAAAGTAACAAAGAATGGACAAAGTAGCTACACTACTTGTGTGCTAGGGACATCTGACAGAATTTAGCAAAATAATTTAAGATTGTATTCAACACTGAGACCCCATTTGTAAGCAACTTAGAAATAACTGTCTTAGAATCTACATTTTAACTTTTAACTCTTCGCAACAACTTAAGCTCTTAAAATTATTCAGTTATTAATTATTAAGTACATTTCAAGTGGCTTTTATCACATTTCGTAGTTTAAGAATTCATGACTAGAGAAGGAAATCATTCATAATAAAAATAAGGCCATTATCAACAAGTATTTACTTGTTGGAACTTTATAATGCCATTAATGAAATCCATAACTTGACCATAAAATCAAATTGAAAACATGAATTAATTATGGTTATAGAAAAGCATCAAGACATCAGGAAAAAAGAACATACTCTTCTGCCATAAATGAAAGCATTAAGGCTCACAGAAGCCTATGTGTAACCTTAACATTAATATTTTACTAAGGAATATAGAAGCCTTTTGTTATATCAGTGAGTTGCCACTAGATCTTCATACTTCAAAGAGCTTAAACTGAAAGCCAAAAAAGCACAATGTAGAGAATTTTAGAGCTGAAGGGGGACTCAGCTCAAGTGCAGTAATTTTCAAACTGGTATTCTAGGTAATTGTATTCTAGGAAATGTTAACAGGTTGGCCGTAAGAAAATAGGCTCTCTGGCCAAGTAAGCTAGGAAATGCTTTGGTATTCTTCCCCTGGAGATTTACATGCATATAAGCATAGCAATAAAGGTTTTGAGAAGTCCTGCAGTTAAAAGAAAACCAAATTTAAACCTGATTTAACCCAATGTGCTCCCCAATTATTTGCCATGGAACACTGTTTTGGGGCAGTAAGCCTATTAACGGACTCAGAACAGAGGTCAGGAGAAACATACATTTGCAAAACTCTGATCCTATGAAATTTCCTTCAAACAGATGACAAAACTGAGGCCTCGAGAGATCATACCTGGTTAGCAGGAGAACAAAGAACTTGAATGAAGTCTCTCCCAGGCCAGAGCTCTTTCCACTAGTTTAACTATAAAATAGGACTGCCTTGAGTGTCAATAGCCAAACATTTAACTAACAACATTTAATTTACATTTAACATTTTGATTATGATGCCACATTTTCTGGTTTGTGTATTAACTTAGGTGTTTTTAATTCTTCCTTCAAGACTTGAGTTCCTAATAATCAGGCCCACCTGGAGATTCGCCTCTGTTCAGCAAACGTGGAGAATGCGTTCCTTCAGAGCGGCAGCTGAAAGAAATCACTAAAATAAAGCATTTGTACTACAACTTGTTTGGTATTAATTTACTCTTGCTATAACTTCCAGCAGCTGAACTAAATCACTGTTGTTTATCAGGTGGGGAGTGACCTAGCATACAATGCTGAGGTATGTCATCCACAGTAAAATGCAAGAGAAGACAATCTTGCCAACGACACCGAAATTGAGAGATTTTGTCTTCCTATAGTTAAGAAGTTATTTGTCAGCCAGTTAGGTTACTATGTTTTTTGTAACTTTATATAAAAAAATATTTTGATGGCTTTAACTGCAACTCCCAATCAGATTTTCCCAATCTTTATACTTCTCAACCTCCACAGAACTCTAAGATAGTGTAAGAATAATCAAAACAGAATTTACTTAGCTTTAAAAAAGTAGTTTTGTGCCACCACCCCCCCGCCCCGGGGAGGAAGAAAAATGGAAGAGACAAAACAAGTAACTATTGTTATGTTGCAACTTTAATCAAAGGTGATCGCCGTTAACAACTTCCTTATGACTAACCTGACTTCCTCTCATAAACTTCGGCACTCCTTCCCCTCCCTCGCCCGCCCCACCCCGGAACATTAACCCTGGCTGGCATCCCTGTCTCCTCAGTCCTAAAAGCACCCACCCGATGAATGAGACGACACGATGCCCAGATCCCGCCAACAAAGAGGTACCCCGCGCGCCTCGATCGCACAGGTGCGACCTCCACCCCAACCTTGCGCACGGCTCGGCCTCGGCGCAGCAGGCTCGGGACCCGCCACCGGACGCCCCGACACAGCCTCCGGCCACCCGTGCCCGGGCCGCCCTCGCGCCTCCGCCCGGCCCCGGCCCGCCAGTCCCCAGAAACCAGAGGGCGGCCGGCCGGCTTCGCGGCTCCAAGCGGGGCCAGGACTGCAACACCCCCGCCGCCCCAGCCGCCTGCCCCGCGGGGCGTCCCCGCGGCTCCGGAGCGAGCCGGCTGAGAGGCGGGTCGGGGCCGGCGGGCGGCCTCGCGACCGCGCCGGGGGCGGGGACGCTCTTACCTGCCGTGGGCTCGGCCGCTCCCCGCCGGCGCCGCTCTCCTGGCAACCGCGACAGCGACACCGAGGCCGGGAGCCCAAGGGCCTCCTGACAGCTCCCAGCGTGCCCCGCGCCCACGCCGGCGTCGACGTCGACGGCCCTCGGTCCCCGCCCCTCCGTTCCTCCCTCCTGTCCCTAGCTGTCGCGACAGCTCCCTCAAGCGGACTGTCGAGGAAGCGGCGCCCGGCCGCCACCTGCGGGAGCGGGCTCGGAAAGGGCTGCAGCAGGTGTTTCCAGCTCGCCGGCGCCGACTTTTGATGGAGAGTTTGAAGGGATGCTAGGGATTGAAAACAGCTTTTAAATATTAGTTAAACAATTATTTAAGTATTATTTAAATAATTCTTCAGTATTTCATATGAAGAACTTGAGGCTCACCTGGAGGTTAGAAGACTTGTTAGGAGACAGTTGTCAAATTTGGCGCAATTTTGAGTCTAGAACTCTCTAAATCATGTAGTTAGTACAACGAGGATTGCACCGTTTTGCCTAAACCGTAGGGTCAAAAAAAGATTGCATTTTTTCCCGAATGTGTGACTGTATGAAATATAACAGTCTTCAAAAATAATCAAAAACCAATTATGAAGAGCATGCTGCGCGAAACATGTTTTATGTTTCAAAATAATGTCAGTATTTAAGCACTTAATAGCCTTGAGAATTAAAAGTAGAAGATACGGGTTGAAATGGTCACCCTTCATCACCCTTATTTGAGATGGAATAACAGTAAACAATTCTTTTAACCGCGTTATTACCTCCATCCATGATTTTGAATTATCGTGATGGATACAGGAATTTGTGAAGCAACCCTACAAAACTTTAAAAACTCCGAATACCGATTTTAGAAAAATTGTCTTAAACTAGTATCTCTAGGGAAGTGGGTTTATTATTGGAAAGATCTTCAAATTGATATGTTTGGTTTATGGTAATTATGACCTTGAAATGATAAATGAATCAATAAACATGATTTTCTGTATATACCATCATTGTTTCTGCTTTAAAAAACGAACAGCCTCTTGTTTTTACAGAATTTTTATTATAATTCTACCGTGGCCTTTTATTTTAATATTTCCCCATTATAAGTATTTACATTATACTAGATCTTTTTCTTTACCATGTCAAATTTTCCAAAATTTTCTTTTAGTGGTTATGAGATCACGACTTCCCTGAGTCAATTTTTTCTTCTGCAAAACTGCGTAGTGGAAATGTACATATGGAATCATTCTCATCTTCCTTTTTTCAAAGTTGCAGGAATGGTTCATCCTGTGATTCACGATACTAGATTTAACCACACTGTCTACTGCATAGACAGAAAGCTCACATTTTTGCAATTATTTCCATCGTGGAGCGATCTTGTCTAAATTGAGAAGCAATGCCAAGTCAACTCTGGACATTTGTTGCTGCAGGCAGAGGAGAGCTAACAAACCATACTCCATAGTTCATAAAAAAGAGACCATAGTTCTTAAAAAAAAAAAAAAGAAGAAGATAAAGTGGGTTTGGGGTGGGAAATTCTGCTCCGGGCCTCCTAGGGACAGTGCCCGCCTCTATCGCCTCCCTCCATCATCTCCCGCTCTTCCAGCCTCATCCCTTCCCATGGTAGCCAAAGAGGTCTACTCTGGTCTGATTTTTAGGGTCATTTCCAGGGAGACTATCGCATCAGGTCACGCCCATAATAAACCGAGTGGGAGGACGGTTTGGCTCTCCCCGCCCCCCTTTCTCAGCGATCAGACGGAAAGCCGGATTTGAAAATGCTCGCGCCCCGCCTGTCGAGTCCCCGCGGCGGCGCGCTCTCCGCCCGGCAGGCGGCGCTGTGGGCTGGGAGGCTGTGTGCGCCCGGAGCCGGTCCCGGAGGTCCGCGCCGCCGCCGCCGCTGCTTCTGCTGGGGCCGCACGTGCAGGAGCTCCTGGCCTTGGCGTTCCGGTTCGCCAGAACCTTCGGCTGGGCGCCCGGCATGGCGGCTGCCGCCGCGGAGACGCGCGTGTTTCTGGAGGTGCGGAGACGGCTGCAGAGCGCGCTGCTGATCCTGGGGTAAGGCCAGCGGTGGGCGCAGCGCCTGGACCGCTTGTCTGCTTCTCAGGGAGTCTCCGACTCCCTCGGAAGCCTGGAATTTCTTCTTTCTAGTTACTTTAAAACCTCTCGCTTACTCAAAGTGGAGTGTTCTCCCCCACCCCCCCGCCCTGATTCCCACCCCGATTCCCACCCCATAGTCCCCCCATCGATTGGCAGTGCGGGCATCACTTGGGAGTTTTTAGAAATGCAGAGTCTCAGCCCTACCCCAGACCTGCTGAATCAGAGCTTAGATTTTAACACGCTTCCCAGGGTTCAAATGCACATTAAAGTTTGAGGAGCACGGATGTAAAATAGCTTTGGCAGTGCCCCGCGTTTCCAACAAAACAATGCAAACAATGCCTTTCGGGATCCTTGTTATAAGATCACTTCCACCGTGTGAGCTCCCTTTTTTGTAAATAGCCTGTTTTTTTTTGTTTTTGTTTTTCTGTTCTCTGCAGAGAAACCGACACAGTCGTTCAATAAACGTGTGTGGGGTGAACGACTGACAAAGGTTACAGACTTCTTATTGGAGCTCATTCTTTCATTCATATTCCGAGTTCCAATGAGAAGTCTGCAAACGTTTAACTTGTCATTCACTGCACAAACAAGAAACTTTTAGGAAGAGTGTTCTCTTTTTTGTTTGGGAGTATATGGGCCCCTCGACTATTCTCTTGTGACCGCTGTTTCAGAGTAAGTTAGATGTTAAAACCCTTAAAATTTTATTACACAGCGCCGCACTGATGTAGATTGACGCTTTGCTTTCTCTCTTCAATCAGCCAGGTATCTGGTGTGGCAGTTTGGGATTGGGCATGAGAACTGCATTCAGATCCTAGCTTTGTCACAGGGGAGAATCATTCAATCTGAATTTTTTCAGTTGTAAAACGGGGATGATGTTTATTACTCTTCTTTCTCTCTCTCATCTCTCTCTCAAATCGTGAGTTCAGACAAGTATGTCCAATTCCAATCCACCTTGTAGGGTTATTAGGAGCCCAAACCTTACACAAGGCAAAACAAAACAAAACAAAACAAGACAACCTCCCTACTTCCTCCTGTCAAAGGGGGCCTTCGAGTTTCCTCTGGATTACTCTCCCTTGTTTAAGCAAGTTAAGAAACCTAACTTTGCTGGCACTACTAGTTTGTCCCTGGTGGTCTTTGGCTGTTGAGCTTTATCATCAGTCAGTTCCCCCTACCCTAAAAGCAACTGCTGTTCTGATTTCATTCAACAAAGATTAGTTTTGCCATTTCTTGAACTGTGTATAAATGGATTCATGCAGTATGTACTTTTTTGTTTCTGGCTGCTTTCCTTCAACAGTGTTACTGAGATTCGTGTTTCATCTATGGCACTGCATATATCAGTAGTCCATTCTTTTTTCTTGCTCAGTAGTTTTCCACTGTAGGAATATATGGCAATTCATTTATCCATTCTTCCATTGCTGGATGTTTTGATGTTTCTAGAGCTTGCTTATTATGAATAAAGCTGCCATAACATTGTTGTGTTTAAGTCTTTCTGTGGACATACGTTTTCATTTCTCTTGGGTGGAATTGCTGGGTCATAGGGTAGATGGGGCTTTACTTAATGAGAAGCCACCATACAGTTCTCTGAGGTGAATATGAAGTGCTAGTTTATATTCTTGCCGGAAAGGAAATGAGAGTTCTGATTGCTTCACATTCTTGTCTGCGTTTAGTGTTGTCAACCTTTTGGATTTTAGCCATTCTAGTGGTATAAAGTGATATCTCATTGTCATTTTAATTTGCATTTTCCTGATTAATAATGTCGAACACCTTTTCATTTGCTTTTTGGTCATTCATATATGTTCCTTTGTAAAATGTCTTCTAATTATTTGCCATAAAAAAAATCAAGTTGTCTTATTGTTGAATTTAAAGAGTTCTTTATATAGTCTGGAAACAAGACCTTTCTCATTTAAGCCTTGTGAATATATGAATATTTTCTCCCAATCATCTGTAACTTACCTTTTCATTTTCTTAACAGTATCTTGATGGACAGAAACTTTTTTTTTCATCTTAGTAAATTAATTGAGGTAAGAATTATACAGCTTTTTAGAAACTAGTCAGACAATTCCTATTATGCTATGTAACAAGTGTTTTTAGTGAAATTTGAGATTGTTTAGTTTGTTCCTTCATCTGAGTCTGCCAGAGCTTTTTTTTTTATTAAGATTATGATAGTTTACAACCTTGTGAAATTTCAGTTGTCCATTATTGTTAGTCATGTTGTGGGTGCACCACTTCACCCTTTGTGCCCTCCCCTTTCCCCTGGTAACCACCAATCAGTTCTCTTTGTCTATATGTTAACTTTCACCTATGAGTGGAGTCATACAGAGTTCGTCTTTTTCTGTCTGGCTTATTTCACTTAACATAATACCCTCAAGGTCTATCCATGTTGTTGTGAATGGGACGATTTTGGATGGACAGAAACTTTTAATTACAGTGAAGTGTTTTTTATGTCCTAAGGGGTCTTTGCCTACCTCAAGGTTGTAAAGATTTTTTCCCTGTGTTTATTTTCTAGGAGTTACATAGTTTTAGCTTTTATATTTAGATCTATGATTATGTCACATTCATTTTTGTGTTTGGAGTGAGGTCAAGGTCAAAGTTCATTTTTTTTCTGTAAGGATATCCAGTTGTTCCATGACCATTAGTTAGAAAGACTGTCATTTCCCCCACTGAGGTAACTCACTGTCTTTTGTCAGAAATCAGTTGACTGTACATTTGTGTAGTATATTTTCTTCTACCCTTTTACTCTCAACCTGTGTCTTTATATGTGAGTTTTTTAAAGCATATGCAGGGTGGAATTTTTAAAAATCTATTCTGACAACCTCTGCCTTTTAATTAGAATTTTTGTTTTATTTACAATGTGAATGATATTTTGAGTTTTAGTCTTGTTCCTAATCTTAAAAGAAATGCTTCTAGCATTTCATCATTAGGTATGATGAAGTTGACTTTTGATGAATCTTTTGGTAGATTGCATAGTTCCTTTCTATTCTTAGTTTACTGTGGGTTTCAATCGTGAACAGATAATTGTATTTTCTATAATGATTCCTGCACGTATTGTGTTAGTTCTATTTTTTCCCTTTAATCTTTACATCTGTGAATTGCATTAGAAAAATCTGTTTAAAGAACAAAATCATTCCATTTGCAATAACATGGATGGACCTTGAGAGAATTATGTTAAGTGAAATAAGCCAGCGAGAGAAAGATAATCTGTGTATGACTCCACTCATATGAGGAATTTAAAAGTATGGACCAAGAACAGTTTAGTGGATACCAGGGGAAAGGTGGGGTGGGGGGTGGGCACAAAGGGTTGAAGTGGTGCACCTACAACATGACTGACAAACATTAATGTACAATTGAAATTTCACAAGATTGTAACCTATCAATAACTCAATAAAAAACAAATTAAAAAAAAAAAAAAAAGAAAAATCTGTTTAAGTTAAGCCATCTTAGCATTCCTGGGATAAACTTAGCCATGCATTTATTCAGTCCACAGATGTTTACTGAGTTCCTATTCTAGTGCCAAAAACTCAGATTCTAAGTGCTGGGTGTACACCTTTGAACAATAACAACGGCAAAGACAAAAATACTTGCTCTCGTTGAGCTTGCAGTCTACCGGCAGCAGTGGGCGAGAGGTAGGCAGAAAATACACAAAATAAATAAAATATATATTATATCAAATAGAGATCTGTACGTAGAAAAAAATAAAACAGAAAAAGGGGTAGGGAGAAGAAATTACAACCCCTTATTCCGAGTGAGAAAGCAGCATTTGAGTAATCACCTAAAAAGAATGAGATGTGGAACCATACGCTATTCAGTGGAAAACGGTTTCTCTCTGAGAGAACAGAGGCATGAGGGGGTGCCTAATTTAGAGAGATTTGGGTGGGCTGGTGGAGCATGTAGGAAGGGGTCTTAAAGTGGTGTGCTGGTAAATGTTTAACAACCTGCTCTCCAGGAAAACCAAACCCGTCAACAAACTGAAACCTTCAGGAAGTGCATTTACTGATTCCTCTGGTGAGAATACTTTCACCACGGATGATGTCAGGTTTCCGAAGGGAGGTCAGCTGGTTTGCAGAATGCCTGGAATTTTAACAACTGGCTCTAGTATATCACTGGACCTTATAGATCATTGATAGGACTTTAGCTTGTACTCAGAGTGAGATGTGAAGTTGTTGGATAGTTTCAAGCAGAGTGTGATACCTGAAAGAATGCGAGCGAATAGTGAAGAAAGCCTCAAGTATAGAAGGTACGGACAATTAGGGTCTCAAAAACGTTGTTTTGGAACCATCTCAAACTTGTAAGCTGTCACTCCTGAATATTTTGTTGTGGATTTCCTACAAATAAGGACATTCTCCTACATAACCACCATGCAACCCTCAAAACTGGGAAATATGTTACTACCATCTCATACTTAGACCTCGTTCAGGTTTTGCCAGTTGTCTACGTAATATCTGTGATAGCAAGGTAATCCAGTTCAGAATATGCGTTGCATTTCATTGTCATGTTGCCTTAGTCTCTTTCAATCTGGAAGGGTTCCTCAGTTTTCCTTGACTTTCACGATCCTGACACTTATGAAGATTATAGCCCAGTTATTTTGTATAATATCCCTCCATTTGGGTTTGTTTCACGTTTTCTCAAGATTAGGTTCAGATTAGGCATCTTTGGCAGGAACATCACAGAAGTGACGCTGTATTCTCATTGCATCCTGTCAGGTGGCACATGATTTTGATTTGTTTCATTAAAGTTCATGTTAACTTTGAGCACTAAATAAGGTGGTTTCTGTCAGGCTTCTCTCCCATCAAGTTACTCTTTTCCTCTACATAATCAATAAGTATTAATTAGAGAGGTCCTTTGAGACTATGTGAATACCATGAGTCTGTTCCTCATCAGACTCATTTTGTTCATTCATTTATTTACATCAGTATGGAGCCGTGGTCCTGATGTATTCAGTGGGTTACTTTTTTGCTCAGAGT